TGCAAGTTTCGCCCCATACTCAGAATTCTCAGAACAAGTGCTTGAACTTGTCCTCTGCTCAGCAGTTCTCAGTTGTTTGGGGATGCCTCTCCCACCCCCCAGACCCCTACCTCCAGGCAACCCCTCTGGTTCCCACCTCCTCAGACCTGGCCCCGAACCCTGCACGTTGCCCGCCCGAGCTCAGGCCATTGGCTGCACTGCCTACCTCCTGAGTGTGCGGGCAGCCGGGTGTGAGCAGGCCCCAGTGTCATCTAGAAGTGCCCTGCCACGTCACAGCAGGGAGGACAGTTGTGAGCCAAGCACAGTCAGCTGGGCACGCGCATCTGTCCTGACCCTGTCTTACCCAAGGACCTGTCCTGCTGCCCCCACCACAGAAACACCCTCCCTAGCTCCCCTCCTCACTCAGAGACCTTCTCTCCAGGGGGCCTCCTGCTTCTACCCCAAAACCACCAAGAGAGCAGCCTGCAGCCTCCATCCAGTCCCTCCCCCTGCCACTCACCCCGAACCCACACCCAGCTGCTCAGAGGCCACTCCGGATACAGCCAGTGGTGCAGGCCCCGGAGGCTCCCGCGCCCTGACCTATCAAGCTCATACCGTGCCAGCTGGCCTGTGCCCTCCCCCCCCCCACCACAGCCCTTCCTGCATTCCTTTGGGAAATCGGCTTTTAGCATAACACTGGGGTCTTCAAAATTTTCATGAAAAATGCTGTTATGAAAAAACTAGGTGTGGATTTCAAATATTTTTTTTTACATCGAAATATACTTATACTTTAATTCCATTTCTCCACGACTTTTTGAAGTCCCCTCGCAGGTGCTTGATGGGTTACACTCCCCTGCTCTCATTCCTGGACCCCTCACAACTCTCAGGCCTGTCCTGAGAGAGGGCCGTGCCTGGCGCCCGCCCCTCCCTGGAGCACAGACCCACCTATCTGGCCGCGCTCTGCTCTGTGGCTCTCTTCCAGTGGCCCTGCCTGGAAACCTCGGGGGAAGGGGCCCGAAGGCTTCTTGGAGGAGGCTGACTAGAGTCGGTATTGGAGGAGAGAACACATCCCCGTAGTTCGGGGAGCCTCGCGGAGGGGGGCCTCACAGCATTCTGATTATGAAAGCTGGCATGTTTGGACTCTCCCCGCCTCGTGCCCAGGTGCATACCCGAGTCTCCGAGGTGGCTGATCTCCCAGAATAAGAACACCAAGGCCATGAGGACCATTAAGCACATCGCGAATAAAAATGGAAAACCTCTGCCCGCCTCTTTCCAGGTGAGCCAGGGCCCTAAGTAGCATGTGAGGGGACAGTAAGGAGGGACAATCTGGGAAGATTCTAGTGAGCTCAGTGGGGTCCGGGGCAGGGCCACCAATTCCCACTGTGGCCTTCGCGGATGAGAGGCAAGGGAGTCCCTTGTCAGTGGGGTGTGTGGTTCCCGGGGAGAGTGCTGCAGATGGGAAACAGCGAAGTCAGAGGGAATCCGGACTCACCCGGTCAGGAGGCGCTCCTGTCCTGCACACAGGACAACCTAACTGTTGGTTAGGTTCCCGACCTCAAACCTTTTCAACTGGCAGGGGCCAGAGAAGAGAAAATGAAACTCATTAGAAAACTACATTGCGGGGAACCAGCAGTTAGCATAATGGCTATGTCGCTGGACTCCCATGTAGTTGACCGCGGTTCGCATCCCAGACCCGGTGGCTTAAGACTCACGCCGGGCGCGTGTGCGTGCATGCCCAAGATCCCGAGAGGAGAATGGAGAAGGGACTGTGGCGTGACCATCCCCCCTGGGGGGTGATTTCTCGTTTTCTGTCTCTATATCGCTCTCTGTCTGTCTGACGAGCGCACGTGCCCTATGGCAAAAATCTCTCCGGAAAAAAAAAAAAAAAAAAAAAAAAACCTGGACTTGAAATGGCTTGAAAAAAAGTCAGGCGGAGACCAGCAGTTAGAGTAATGGCTATGTCACTGGACTCCCATGTAGTTGACCACGGTTGGAGTCCTGGACCCGGTAGCTTAAAAAACTCATACCGGGCGCATGTGTGTGCCCAAGATCCAGAGAGGAGAACGGAGGAGAGGGGATTGCGGTGTGGCCGTCCCCCCTGAGGGGTGATTTCTCCCTTTCTATCTCTCTGTCTCTTTCTGTCTGTCTGGTGAGCGCACGCGCCCTATAGCAAAAACCTCTCAAAAAAAAAGAAAAAAAAAAGAAAAAAAAACACACAACTATGATAAGAGCCCATCATTTGTAAACAAGGACCTGGAACAGGTCACCTGCTGGCATTTGTATGACACGGAGAATGAGCTTTGGGCAGAGGTCTGGTGTCACCTCTTCCTCCTGGTTTCCGGCTGGGTGAATGTGTATCCGTCCTTAGTGACGGGCCCGCAGCTGGTCCTCAGGCCGTAGGCTCCCAGAGAGTGGCCTGGGAGTCGGTGTCCTGCCTGAAACGCCGTTCAGGCAGTGCTGACAAGCCGGTCACTGCTGAGATCCTGCTTGGCGTGCCCTCACCTGTGCATGTCCTCTCACACGCTGCCCTGCAGTCCTGCAGGAAGGAGGCAGGGGCGGGACTCTGCTGCCCCTCCTCACTGTCCTCTCGCACAGCGGGGCCTCTCCAGGCCCCTCTCTGTACGGGAATCACCCGGGACCTTGTGGAAATGTCTTTCTCTGAGGGATGCTGCAAATGCCCAGGTCCCAGGTGGAGGCTGCTGGGATTGCTGCCAGTGGGCCTGGGTACTGGCCCGGTTGCTTTGCTCTCGGTCCTCGTCCTCGGGACTGGGCCTCAATTACAGCCGACTGAGCAGTACAGACACAGACACTGCGGATGTGCGCAGTCACCTAGCATCCCCGGATCCAGCTTCCTCTCTGTAAACTGAGGCACAAACGTAGAGCCCGGGCCCAACCATGGTGACGCAAGTGCTGTGGGTGCTGCTGGGGGAGGTGGGTCCACGTGGGAGGTCCGTGTTGGTTCCTGGACCAACCTAAACCAGCCAGGCCCCAGGGTGCACACCTGTGCCCCTAGCCAACTGGGAGGCTGGGTAGGGGAGTTACAGCATGGCGAGGTCCTCTAGCAGATCCCTCCCTTCCTCCCTCCCTCTCTCATTAAAAAAAAAAAAAGACCGTAAGTGCTAGGATTTTTGTAATGATTAAATGACGTAGAGTGTAGGAGTGGACACAGTGGGCACCGGATAAGGAGGGGTCGTTAGCCTCATGTGACCCGGCGCCTCACTGACGCTACAAACTGCTCTCCTTTCTGTGCTCAGAGCCTGAGACCTGAGGAGGAGGCCGGCGAGAAGTTGAGTCCTTCGTTTCTTGACTTGGTCAGAACCCCTCAGATAAGGAAACATACTTTGATCTTAATGTACAACTGGTAAGAATATTTTCACTTTGGGACTAACAAATGGCATAATGGTTACCTCGCTGGAGTTCCATTTGGTCAACTGTGGTTCGAGTCCCGAACCCGGAGGCTTGAAACAAGCTGGACGCATGTGCATGCATCTCCTCCAGGCTCCTCCCCCTCGGAGACTGGAGGAGAAGGGATTACGGCCTGGCCTTCCCTTTGGGGGTTGATTTTCTGCTTTCTGTCTCTCTGGCTAGCGCATGCTCCCTATAGCAAAACTCGCTCTAAAAAAAAATTTTTTTTTTTCACTTTAAAATCCCTCCTAATTCTTTAAGTAACTGTCATCCACATTAAGGGAGGGAACAAGGGTACCTTCAAAACACGCCCTGCTCCAGTATTCGTGTCTGCAGTGGACGACCACGTGGGGTCTGGCAGGACAGGTTCTCCTGAGTGCTTTCCTCAGGCCAACGTGGAAATCGGCTTTCTCTCAGGTACAGACTAGGCCTTCTCGAGCCTGCCCCATGTTAGCATCACCTGGGAGACTTGTGGAAAATACAGGGGAAACTTGGAGGCATTGGAGTAGGCAAAGACTTCCTAGAGAAGACCCCTAAAGGCACAGGCATGACTCCCCAAAACAGACAAGTGCGGCTCCCCTGTGCAGCAAAGGAGACAGTGCTTCGAGTGAAAGAGAGCTCAGGGTAGTAAAAAATATTTGCAAACGATGCTTCTTATGTGGGCCTGAATATCTGGGGAACACAAGCAAGTCTTCCTGCAGAAAAACAAACAATGTAATTAAAAACTGGAGAAATGAGTGGAACAGAAAATTCTCTTAGGAATATATACAAATCACAAAAAGAAAGAAAGAAAAGAAAAAATGCTCAATATCCCTTATCCCTGTGATTTGATAGTGTCCTTATTCCCTCCCTTACTGTGGAACTGCACATCAAAACCACAGGAAGACACCACCGGACACATCAGAGCGGCTGCGATTAAAAATCAAGAGCGGGTGCTGTCACAGCTGTGGTGGAGGGACCCCTCCTACCCACTGCTGGGCACGGCTGTTACTGGGTTGTTGGAAAAGTCATGCCATATTTTTTCTTATGCAAAAATGGGTCATGACTTTTCCAACAACTCAAGAGTCCAGCCACTGTGGAAAACTATATGGAGATTCCTCAAAAAAACTACAAACAGGACTGCCATATGACCCAGTAATCCACTCCTCAGTATTTCTCTGAAGAGTAGGAAAACACTCAGCTGGAAAAACACTTGCACATCTATGTTTATTGCAGCATTACTCACAATTGCTAAGACAAGAAAAATCTAAATGTCCAGGAAGGGATGACTGGATTGAAAAAAATTTGGCACCTATACACTGTGGAATACTACTCAGCCATAAACACAGTGAGACCCGCTCATCCGATATGAAGTGGATGAATATAGAAGATTTAATGCTGAGGAAAGCAGCCAGACAATGAAAGACAAACATTATAGATCCTTGCTAAATACATGCCAAATGTCTATGCTTTATGGAAATTGAAAAGTTAGAAGATTTAATAGCGAGGAGGGCAAGTGTGGACCAGAGACTGTGTAGGAAGGGGTGAGTAGCAGTGGGTGGGAGAGAAGGGCTCGGGGAGAAACTGAGCAGACACGCAAATGTCAAGTCTGTTGGAAGTGAGATGCAGGAATATCTTAAACTGACGTGCACGCATGTGTGTTCGCCATGAAGACGTACGATGACTAAATATAAAAGAGAGAAAGAAAAAAGAATCATGTGGGAGATTAGGAAAACCAAGGCTGACCCTCATCTCCATGAATATTGATTTAACTGTTTTAGAGTAGAGCCCAGGAATTATGGTTTGTTTTTTTTTAATTCTCCAGGTGGTTCTAATATAGAGCCAAGATTGAAAATGACTGAAGTAGATTAAGTTGGTCACGTGTAGATCCCTACAATAGTACGAGGCTGGCAAGATGGGCCTTTTCTTTTATTTACGTTTCTATCTGGAGAAAAAAAAATACGATAAAAAATAACCCATAGGGGCCTGTGTCCTGACCTAGTCGTTGGGGAAAATGGGATCCCATGTGGCTGGCCACAGTTCAAGTCCCAGTGCTGGTAGCTTAAGCAACACACCAAGTTCATGTGTGTGTGTGCCCTAAATCCCAACAGAATAGAGAAATGGAGAAGAGACTGTGGGGGGCCATGCCCCGTGGTGGTGCTTTCTCCCTTTCTGTCTCCCTATCCCCTGTCTGTCTCTGGCAAGCACACAGGACATTCTTTTTGACTTTCAACCTGGCCAGGGAATGCTGTCCTAATTTACTCCTCCTCCCAGTTCCTGGACGCACAGTACCAGTGTGGGTCACACGCTGAGAGCGGTGCATGGAGGGCCCAGCAGTGGACGGTCCCAGGGAGGAGACCCATGGCCAGTTTGCTCTCCCAGCTCTGCCTTTCTGCAGGTCATGTTTGGTGCTTGGCTTGACCTTCGTTCTCCTCTTTGCTCAGGTTCACCAGCTCTGTTCTCTACCAGGGCCTCATCATGCACATGGGCCTCGTGGGGGACAACATCTACCTGGATTTCTTCTACTCTGCCCTGGTCGAATTCCCAGCTGCCCTCATCATCGTCCTCACCATCGACCGCATTGGCCGCCGTTATCCGTGGGCCGTGTCAAATATAGTGGCAGGGGCAGCCTGTCTAGCTCCAGTTTTTATCCCCGATGGTAAGTTTCAGGCCAACCTGGGTCTTGCTTCTAAAGTCTTGAGAAGAGGGGTGCCATGGCCCTTTGATAGGAAGACCATGCCATGGTCATCCAAATAGATTAGAAAGACACAGGGCAATATACGGGACGAATTCCCGAGCAAACCCTTGTAGCCAACCCACCTGTAAGAACAGTGGCCGCCAGCCCAGATGTGGTGGCCCAGCAAGAGGACAGCACTCCACGACACTGGAAGTCATGTGGAAGGTTGGGTCAGGTCCTGGGTCAACTTGTCCACACCCGGCTCTCAGTGTGCCCATGAGCCGGCTGGCTGGGAAGGCTGGGCTGGTGGGCGGGAGAGCGTGGCCTGACACCCTAGTCTGCCTCTTTCTCTACCTATTTTTTTCCCTCTCTCAAGAAATGAATAGACGTTAAACAAATTTTAAAGGGGACCAGCAAATGGCATAATGGTTACCTCACTGGACTCTCATGTAGTCGGCCGTGGTCCGAGTCCTGGACCAGACAAAACTATCACACTGAGCACGTGTGTGTGCATGCCCAAAATCCCGAGAGGAGAGTGGAGGAGAAGGGATTGCGGCATGGATTTCTCTCTTTATGTCTCTCTGTGTCTCTCTGTCTCCATGGCGAGCGCGTGTGCCCTATAGCGAAAATCTCTCTTTAAAAAAATATGCCCATATTGTGCTGTTTGTTCTGGGGGACAGCTGTAGACTGAAGTCTGTCCAGCTTTGGGGACTGCTATAATTCTGCTGTCATTAGCAACTGAGGCCTCAAGTTGAGGGCGTTTTAGAGGCAAAACAAAAAAGATCAGTGGTTGCCGGGGAGGAGTGGGAGCTGGACCAGGCAGGACGGGGGTGCTCGGGGCAGGGAAACGCCTCTGGGCCATACACAGCGATGCAAACAAGGCATCGCCCACCTGTCCACACCCGCAGCGTGCCGCACCACGAGGGCACCCGATGCCAACCGCTGACTTGGGGAGAGAATTACGTGTGGGGCAGGTTCACCGATGGTAACAGTGTCCCACTCCGTGGGGATGTGGGGGCAGCGCGTGCATGGGAAATCTCTGGACCTTCCTCTCAGTTTTGCTATGAGACTAAAATTGCTCTTAAGAAAACCAAATCTTTTAGCAGAGAGCGCGAGAGAGTATTCGAATCGTGCCTAAGGTTAAAGCAGAGCGGAGAGTTGGCGACACACCCAGATTTGTTGTCCCGTCCTGGAAGCCCTGCCCCGGCACTGCTGGTCCGGAGGTAGGTGTGTGAGCAGGGCCTGTCTCCCCGCAGGTCTGCACTGGCTGAAGATCACTGTGGCCTGCTTGGGCAGAATGGGGATTACGATGGCCTATGAGATGGTCTGCCTGGTCAATGCCGAACTGTACCCCACGTTCATTAGGTGAGTGCCTTTTCCTCAGCACGACGGGGGTTGGGACACTGGGTTTTGGCTAGAACGCCCAGAGCAGGTGGAAGACACCTGACTCTCACACACAGGTAAGGGAAGGCAAGAGCCTCTCAAGGCCCCCCGCCAGGCCCGGAGGTCACACCCCACCCCCAGGCTGGGTGGAGCTCAGCAGCTGTGCGGGGAACAGACTCTGGGTCACCAGAGAGCGACTGATGGAGAGTGGTCAGAGCCCCCCGGACAGGGGTGCCCGGTGCAGGTGGGGAGCGGACAGCAGAGCTACACTCTGCAAAGCTGACTCACGTGGAAGGGTCTCCGTTTAAGTCCAGAGAGCCCTCTGAGGGTACCAGGCTGGTGGGGTGGGTCTCTGCACCAAGTCGGGGGTGCTGCCTCTCCCTCCCTCCCTCCCTCTCTCTGCTCTCTCTCCCTCCTTTATGGAAGGAGAGAGAGGTAAGAAGGAAGGAAAGGAGGGAGGAAGGGAGAGAGGAGGGAAGGGGCCCAGGCAGGGGAGCCAGGTGCAGAAAGTGAGAAGTCAGACTCGCCCTCCCCATTCAGAGCGTCAACTCTGTAGGAAAGGGTGACGGAAGGAAGGAGTGGAGTGTATGCGCTGCTCTGTGCTCTGCAGAGAACGTAAACGGTTTTGTCCAGTCTCGGGCATTTTAATGATTCAGAGAAGCATTTCTCTGGGGCTGGGGCAGGAGGTGGCACCTGCACAGTGACCAGTTATGGAGTGAAATCGCTTTTCTGTGGCCTAGGAACCTCGGCGTCCTGGTGTGCTCCTCCCTGTGCGACATCGGTGGCATCATCACTCCATTCCTGGTCTACCGGCTCACCAGCGTCTGGCCCGAGCTCCCGCTGGTGATTTTTGGTAAGAGATCCTCAAAGATACCTTTAAAGGAGAACGTGGCTTCCTAGGGACGCTGGTTCTCCACCTCCAGGGAAGCGCTGTGCCTCTCAGCAACCGGGTCACTGACTACCCCAGCCGGTGACTAGCAGCAGCAGTGCCAGCTTTGGGCCTGCCTTAGTTACCAGGGATGCTCCAGTGTGGGGCACCCACCGCAGAGGGGCCAGCAGGAGAGAAGGGTGAGATGGAGGCAGCCCCCCTGGCCACCCCCCCTCCGCCATCATGGGCAAGGGGCTCACCCTCCTGCCTCTGCCTCTCCCTCTGCCTCTGCCTCTCCCTCTGCCTCTGCCTCTCCCTCTGCCTCCACCATGCCCAGCTGCGACCTGCAAAGCCCTGTTCTTCATGACTTCAAACTCAGCATTTTCCAGAGGGTGGTTTCAGAAGCAGAGGAAACATCGGCCCTGAGTAGGGACCGTGTCAGCCGAAGGGGGCCCTGTCTGGTGTTGTCCCACTGCTGTCCAGGGCCGCGAGACCTAGGGCAGCTCACCTGGGCTTGGCTGTCCTCTGTCACTGCCAGGGCACCAGGGCAGGCAGGGCAGCCAGCTTGGAGCCCTCTCCTCCCCACCCCTTCCCGCGGGGGAGAGGGTGACAAGGACTGTATACCAGCGGCTGACCCACAGCCCGTGGGCACGTGCGGTCTGCAGACTGGGGACCGTCCTGCGGCCGGCCACTTCCACCAGCCGATGTCAGTCACCTCCTCCCACAGCCTCTCCCACAGCTGTCTGTGGGACAGACCCTCCCCTGCGTGTCCCGACAGACACCCGAGTGAGGGCTGCTCAGATCCGTGCTGTCACTCACTTCCTCAGGTCAACCAGAACACCTTCCCGCCCCCTGCAACACCCATCCTGGGCCACTCCTAACTGAGTTTGGAGTGCTTCCCCCAGGGCCACGCAACGCAGCTTGCTGGAGCCGGCGGGGAGCCCCCATTGCCTCTCTCCCCTCTCCTCTCCCCTTCCTCTCAAGGGGCCTGTGAAGGGGAATGTCCCACTGGTGGTAACTGCCAGCAAAAGGCCCAGCTGTTCTAGAACTCGTCCTGGGAACAGACCTGAGACGCCTCCGCATCCCCCCCTACCACCACCACCACAGAGAGATGGCCAGGGCGCCAGAGTGCAAGCTGTGATCCCGAGATGGGCACGGCTCGGCCAGAGAGCGGCTGCTGCTGCTGGGGTGTGTGTGCCCCGAATCCTTCTGTCCCCAGGACCTGCCGAGGGACCTGACCGCAGAGCCGCCTTCCCATCTTGAGGAAATGCCCGTCACACCCTCTGGGCTCCTCCTTCCGGAGAGGAGTCAGAGGCCTCAGTCTTGGCTTTGTGATAGAGTGGTGCCTCGTGGGTCCGCAGGCACTTCTGGGTGGCCAATAAAGGCTTCCATTCTCTGAGAACTGTTGGGTGGTCGGAAAAGTCATATGTATTTTTCTATGTTTTTCAAATTGCATCAGGACAGTTTTCTCACAAATGCATCTGTGTTTTAAAATGCATGCCGACCTTTCTGACCACCCCCAGTCCAGACCCAGAGGACCCACTGTCACCTATTCTTCATGCCCCATCTTCTCTGGGAAAGATGAAGAATCGTAACTACGTGTCAGTGTTTAAAGTAAACGCAGAGGGACCAGCAGATGGCATAATGGTTACGTCACTGGACTCCCACAGTCAACCACTGTTCAAGTCCCGAACCCAGAGGCTTAAAACTCACGCCGGGCGCATGTGCATGTGTGCCCAAAATCCCAAGAGGAGAATGGAGAAGGGAATGAGGTGTGGCCCTCCGCCCTGGGGGTAATTTTTCACTTCCTGTTTCACTGTCTCTCTGGTAAGTGCACATACCCTATGCCAAAAACCTCTTTCTTTAAAAAAAGAGGTTAAGAAAAAAAAGATAAAGTAAACGCAGAGCCGGCCCTACGTTTGTTTATCTTTCCTCACCAACCTTTGAGTATCTAACGTGTTTCTCATTTTAACTTTTTTCCCATTCATTTGCACACAACACTACTTGGACTCCTTGTGAACTTGAAATAACCATAAAATAGTCATTTAAACAGCCTGGAAAATCAGTGTCAGAAAATCCTGGTTGAAATCGCCCTGGAGGGCTGGACCCATGCCATAGCGGTTAAGCGGCGTGCCTCGGGCCTGATCCCATGCAGCAGATCACAGCTTGGGTCCTGACCCCAGCAACTTGAGGAACAGGCCAGACACATGTGTTTGTGCCCAAAATGTTGATGGGGACAGAGAAATGGAGGAGAGGGAGATGTGACTAATTGCACCTCATTGAGTCCATGAGGAGTCCAAATAGCATTGTATGTGAAGAATGGGAAAGGCCTCTTCCCCCAGCAAACACACGTGCCCTCTGGTAATTAAAGATAAAGCCCACTGGAAAAAACAGAGAAGGATGATCCTGGTTAATTGGGCCTGTCTTTGCAAATATAAAATACTACCTGGAAAATGGCTGATTCGTCTATGCATCATAATTCACTCCTTCAGAGACGTAGCTGCCAGCCGAATGCTTGATTGCATCTGCTATGACACAACAACCAAGCGGTTCTTGGCAGTTCGGGAGACATTTGGAGAGGTTCATTATTTAGTAAGTGCTTCAGAGCCATGCATTAGGCACCGTTCTAAGCACTTGGCAAATACTAATTCATTGCACCCTCATGAGAAGCCTGTGAGGTGGGTGTGGCAGCCTGTTTGCACAGGGGGTTCGAGAGCACCAGAGATAGATGGCTCCCAAAGCCCTGGGGCCTGCAGTGAGGCAGAGCGGCCTCCCCGCACAGCGGCCGTGCTCTGAGCACAGCGCCCGGAGACCTAGACTTCGGCCAGCTCCTTTTCTAATGAAAATTTGTGTTTATTTATGCTAGAAAGCATGTACATGCATGAGAGAGAGAGAAAGGGAGAGGGGCGCACCTCTGCAGGGTCTGGTCATTCTGCAGTCCCCTTTCTCCAGTCCTCCAGCCCGATACACCGGGGCACTCGTGTGTGTGTCTGGTATGTTCCAGGAGGACCAGGCTGGGGATTCGAACCACAGACACCATGTGACATGCAGCTTCTCTTGAGCAGCCCATCACTGCTGCACCTTGAAGCCAGTCCCCTATCATTTATTGAGGGATCAAAAATGGAGGCCAGGCTCAGCAGATGGTATAATGGTTCCGTCGCTGGACTCCCACATAGTTGACCATGGTTTGAGTTCCAGACCCGGTGGCTTAAGACACACGCAGGCACATGTGTGTCTGTGCTTAAGATCTTAAGAGGAGAATGGAGGAGAAGGGATTGCAGCGTGGCCATCCTCACTGAGGGGTGATTTCTTGCTTTCTTGTCTCTGTCTCTCTGTCTCTCCAGTGAGTGCATGTGCCCTGTAGTAAGAATCTCTCTTTAAAAAAGAAAAGCAGGGACCAGCAGTTGGTGTAATGGCTATGTCGCTGAACTCCTATGTAGTCGACTGCGGTTCGAGTCCCAACCTGGTAGCTTAAACTCACACTGGGCATGTGTGTGTGTGCGTGCCCAAGATCCCAAGAGGAGAATGAAGGAGAAGGGATTGCAATGTGGCCATTCCCCCAGGGGGTGATTTCTTGCTTTCTGTCTCTCTGTCTCCTTCTGGCGAGCGCATGCACCATAGAGCAAAAATTGCCTTTTTTTTCCTTTAAAAAAAGAATTATTTTAATTTTATTTATTACCATATTTTTTTCTTTAAATCTTGTCAAATTTAAATAAATAAATAAATAAATAAATAAATAAATAAATAAATAAATATAAAAATAAATAAAACTATAGAAAATAATTTTTAAAAAATGGAGCCCAGCACACACCATTTGAGACCCTAAAACCAGTGAAGAAACCACATCTCACTTCCTACATCCTACTTCGGAAAAATGTATTAAAATACAACTAGCAGACCAGAACTTTCTGATAAAGACTCAAACACGGGAAGGGTTTATTATTAAAGGTTATAGCTACAGACAAAGAAAAAAAGAATGACAAGATTTAGTGAACCCCTGATTTGAACTTTTAAAAGGCCTGGGTACCTTTTTTTAATGCTGTTATATAGTAAAAAATTATTCATTATTTGTATTTGCTACTAATGATCCAAGTTTCAACTCATTTCATTACTAAGTGCTTTATCCTGGCGGGATTGTGTCCTTCTTTTTCACACAGTTCATATTTTCCAGAGTTATTTTAACTCCCAAGTATCTTCATAGTGTAGCAATGTTCTCCAGCCGAAACATGGAGTATTTTATGTCCCTATAAGGAAATGTAACCCAATGGAGTTTGAGACTGGTGTAAGAGTTACAAGGAAAATAGGGCAGGCAGGCAGAGATGGCAACAGTATCCGTAAATAAGTATAAGAAAACAGCAACAATTTTAAAACTAGGAACAGGGAGCTCTAAATATAGGCCCTGCTTTTTCGGTTCTTGATGGGATTTGCATCCGTTTGGCCTTTCAGCCGTGGTTGGCGTGATTGCCGGAGGACTGGTGTTGCTGCTGCCAGAGACCCGAGGAAAGGCTTTGCCTGAGACCATCGAGGAAGCCGAGAACATGCACAGGTAGGGGTCGGAATTCCCACAGGGGCTTCCGCGGAGTGTTTTGGGACAACTCTGTAGCCAGTCGAAGTTAGGTTGAATCCATACTTCACACCGTATGTTGAGTTAATTCAAACTAAATCAAAGATGTTAAAGTACAATAAAAGGGCCAGAAGGTGATGTGGTGGTTAGGGTGCTGGATCCCACATGACTGACTCTACAGTTCAGGTCCCAGACCAGGTGCTTCAAAAGTATGATCTGTGTATGTACATGCCCAAAATCTGAAGAGGAGAATGGAAGAGAAGGGATTGTGGTATGGCCATCTCCCCTGGGGTGTTCTTATTTTTCCCTTTTGCTCTGTCTCTGTCTCATGCATGCACTCTGTGGTGAAAACCTAAAACAAATAAATTTAAAAAAAAATTTTTTTTTAAGTGGGGACCAGCAGTTAGTGTGATGGCTATGTTGCTGAACTCCCATGTAGCCAACCGCAGTTCGAGCCTCAGACCCGGAGGCTTAAACGTACACCGGGCGCGTGTGCGTGCGTGCCCAAGATCCTAAGAGGTGAATGGAGGAGAAGGGATTGTGGCATGGCCATCCCCCCTGGGGGGTGATTTCTCGCTTTCTGTCTCTCTGTCTCTGTCTGTCTTTCTGGCAAGCACACGTGCCCTATAGAAAAACCTCTCCAAAAAAAAAGTACAAAAAAGATCAAAGACTCAGTAAAACAATAAAGACACTCCAGGAAAATTCCTTTATACCTTCAGAGTGGGAAAGATATGAATATACCCCCCCCGAAAAAATCTAGAACCCATAAAGGTCAATAATGTTTATAGAAATAAAATGTTCTGGGGACCAGCAGTTATGTAATGGCTATGTCACTGGACTCTCATGTAGACAACTGACGTTTGAGTCCCAGACCCAGTGGCTTAAACTCTCGCCAGGCACATGTGCGTGCGTGCCCAAGATCCCGAGAGGAGAATGGAGAAGGGATTGCGGCATGACCATCCCCCCTGGGGGGTGATTTCTCACTTTCTGTCTATCTCTCTCTGTCTTTCTGGTGAGCATATGTGCCCTATAGCAAAAACCTGTCAAAAAAGAAAAATAAAAAATAAAATGCCCTGCACTGAAAAACTGTTACTACCATACGTTACAAATGAAGTGACGAACTTGAAGGATGCACATTGACTGTCTATACAGGCCTAATTTCCCCAGCATATAAGTGTGTGCTGGGTTGTTTCTATTGCCAGAGGCACGTGCGTTCACAGAGAGACAGGCAGACAGGGAGCATTTCCTAGTGGGGTGTGGTCGTGCTATGACCCTTGCCCTCTATTTCTCTCTTCCATCAGGATTTGGGGCACCTCAGCACATGTACCCAGCATGTTTTTCAAGCTTCCAGGTCTGGGATTTGAACAGAGGTTGGGTATGTGGGAGCTGGCTCCCAGTGCAAGGGCATGCCTGTGACGCTACCGGGCCGTCCCTCCCAGTATAGAAAGAGCCCTAACAAATCCATATAAGTAACCACTTGGTGGAAAAAATAGGCAGAGGGCTTGGACAGCTAATTTAGTAAAAAGTAATAAAAACAAGTCTTAAATATATGAAAATCTGTTCATTTTCCTACACAGTGTACAAATCAGCACTGCAGTAATACCTATCTGGATGGCCAAAGGTCAAATTAGCTAGTACCACGCTGGCTGGGAAAGAGGGTAGGAACGCAGTCTCCTACTGTGCAGCAGCAGCACGATTGTGAAACCTCTGCGGGTCCTTTCCCCTAGGAATTCCAGCTTCCAGGAATTTACACATGCATAATGACATATGCACGTGATCAGTCATTAACCCGATTTTCTCTGTAACAGTCTTGGAAACAACCTACATGCTCACATATTGGGGGACCACCTAAATAATATACATTCCAATTAAACACCATGTAGCCATTAGAAAGAATGGGGACCAACAGATGGTGTGAAGGTTACATCCTTGGACTCCCAAGTAGTCAACCATGGTTCAAGTCCTAGACCTCGTGGCTTGAAACTCATGCCAGGGGCAGTGCCAGAGCACCCAAAATCCCAAGAGGAGACTGGAGAAGAAGGGATCGTGGTTTGGCCATACCCCCTGGGGAGTAATTTTTTGCTTTCTGTCTCTCTGTCTCTCTCTCTGGCAAGCATACATGTCCTATAGCAAAAATCTCTTCTCTCAAAAAAAAGAAAAAATGAATGAAATAGCTTTATATGTACCTCCAAGATATGTTGTTTATGGTAAATGAATAGGAACTAGAAAATGATATATTCTACCATATGTATAAGTAGACTGAAATTCAAAGGGTCTTCAAAAATTAATAAAAATGTGTATTATTGAAAAGACATGCATAGGGTTCAAAATATTTTGCACCAAAATAAACTCATATTTTATTTTATCTTAATGAATTTTTGAACTGCGTGTGTGTGTGTGTATGTGTGGGCTTATGTATGTACGTTTGTCTCTGGGAGAATGCAAGATTCGTAACATGTTGTCTGTGAAATCGGGTGGCTGTACGGACATAGGTGGAAGTGGGACCTTTCAATGTGCACCCTTTCGTAATTTCTAAATTTTGAACCATATGAACCTATTCCAAAAGTAAATTTTTAAAAATCTACTACAGAGGAACCCATGGGCCATTCTCTACACGTTTGTTTATCCGATATGCTTGGATATTTTGATTTTGCCCTTACCCCATTTGGGGCCTTTTCGTGCCATGAACTGAGTTAAATTTTCTCCATTCTGCGAGTTCTTGGCATTTAACATATTCAGTACTCGGGCAGAGTGCTACCGGATAGCAGCCAATCTGAGCCTTTCCCTGGGACTTGCGAGCTGGAAGAAGCCTTTGCATCTGGTCAGAGGTCACGGACTAGCAGCTCAGGACAGCAAACTCTCAAGTGCTTTGTTTGGCCTACACACTATATTTTAAAGTGGGAAATTCCACATAAACTGGGCTTCCAGGATCTCATAAAATAACCAGAAGATTTGGTCACCCCGCGTGGCATTTCCTCTTGACAACTTGTAGTTGCTGAGCGATGGCTCAGCTTTTTGAAGGGCATGTTCCATGCAGCACGATACAGTCCCCGCTGCTCTCGGTTGTCTTGTGTCTGGTCCGTTATGTTACCTGTCTGGTGCACGCGGACGTTTGAGTCGGGAGCTCTGGATCAAGACCCACCATCGCTCACCCCCACACTCCTGTCTCAGCACAGCTTCCGCGCACATGACTACCTCCTGAGCAAAGAAGCCTGTCTGACTCCTGTGTGTACTCCTCACTTCACTTCTTTTTTTTTTTAAATCTATTTTTGTCTAGTTTTTATTTTTATTTTTTCATTTTATTTTCTTTTATACATTCAATCACATTATTATTTGGCTTACACAATGGATATTTCAACAGGTGAACATTTCTCCCTAGTACAGTTGATAAAACTCAAAGCCAAGGTTCCCATGCTGGCAGCCACTTTCCAAGGCCCACACACTCATTTCCCCTTCAGAGTCTGGGTTTTCAAGTGGTACCATGCAACGACACATCCAATGCATCGCCTGGCATTCAGTTAGCAGCCGGTCAGTGGCTGGTGCTGCCGGCGGCCCCTTTT